CAAACAGTGAGGAGCGAGAAGTGGGGGATAAGCTGGATCGGGAAAATATCCTATAAGATTTGGATTTCACCGATGACTTGTGTCTAATGTCGTCATACAAATTCGAAGATTACAGGCGAAAACCAGCAAGTTGACAGAAGAGGTGGGCAGCGAAGACGGCACTTGCTTCAGGTGAACGTAGAGAAGACAGAGGTGATGAAGATATCCAACCAACGCGACCAACACCACCACCACCACCAACAACAACAAGCTGCAATCACCATCAGTGGGAGAAGCTTTAAGAAAGTAGCCTCTTTCACCCACTCAACTAGACAGAACTGTTTCAACTACAGGCGGCTGCACAGACGAGGAAGTCACAGCCAGGATTGGAAAAAGAAGACAGGCCTTCCAGTATTGATCTGAAATTAGAGTGGAGATCTTCTGCACTCAGAATCAAGAGTGAACAAGAACCATAATTTTGATATCAATGTCAAGTCAGTGCTTCTATTTGATGGTTCAGAGACTTGGCGCGTCACGAAAAGTATTTCCAGCAAACTACTGATATTCACCAACAACTGCCTACGCTCTTTACTGAAGCTTAGGTGGTCAGAAAGAATAAGCAACAAGGAACTCTTACTTGGCAACGAACCAACCAAGAACCTATCACCCAACATATATATAGGAGGAAGTGGAGATGGGTTGGGCATGCACTGAGAAGACCATTCGAGGATATCATGCGCCAGGCCTACGAGTGGAACCCAGATGTGAAATGACGAGTTGGGTGTCAGTGCTGAGGGTGACATAGAGGAGATGGTGTGAGGAAGAAATGAGAGCTTGTGGGCAGTCATGGTGCCAGGTTCAAAAGATTGCAGAGAACAGAGTGAAATGGAGACGAGCTGCCGAAGCCCTGTGTTTCACTAGGAACCCAAGGGAAAAAATAATAATCTGAAGCACTCAGTCCCGAGTTCCAGCCCAGGTGGGAACAACATCACTCGCTGGGAAGTAGGTACATCAAGCTGACGAGTCACCAATAAGACAAAACGTGTGTTCTGAATTCCAATGCTAGCCACTATCCATCATCAATTTATCATGCGTGTAGGCATTCGGGTTCTCTAAGAGTTTCACTTTTGACCTACAATCCTTTCAACGCCACTTCAGGCATCAATTAAAGTATAGTTTTACAGGAAAAGTATTCGTTGTGCTTTTCGTGAACATTTATGGGGAGGATTTTCATTCGAATGGTTCACGGAAAGGTAAATGGGCCATAACTCTCCTCCTAACTCTTTTGATCACTGAAGATTGTTGGTTTCTTTTTTAAGTTGGCAAAATAAGTCAAAGTAAACATCAAATATATACTGTCATGGGAAGCTTTAGTTTACAATATAAATCATCAGAGGCTAATATTTAGGAATTAGGAGATATGCATTATCTAACCGGTCAGATAGTGAATCATTTCTAAGTACAAATGGCAATTATCATCAACCTTTAGTTAAAGGATATTTTCATTTGCCTTCGTGTGGCTAGATAAGTGGTAAGTTCATTTTTGTGCACAAAAAACACTGTCTACGGTACCGTTATGCCTTATCATTATGACTGAACGACGAATATTTGAGCACTAATCAACTGTTGGGTCAAACTCATGTTACATTGATTAGCAACTAGAGGGTAACCAACTTCATGTTGTTCAGTCCTAAGTGCTGATTGAATTCTACCGATCATTTTGCAATGTCACCACCAGTCTAGGCAGCTCAGCATCACAATTCTTTTTGACAGAAGCAATCGGAAGGAAGCCCTGGACCTAGGTTTCTTGCTCGTTAGTAGTCACCAGCAAGACGCATCTGCAACCCTGACGGAACTGATACCCCACCTAAGACCCTTAAGTGACCAACTATTGTATCTAATCCAGTCCTACAGGAAGTCGGTCGCGGCCTGAATACCTCAGTGGTAACATCACTGAATACAACTTTGAGTAACGTAGATCCGAATCTCAGGCGGGATATCAGTTCCGTCGAGGCTGCAGATGCGCCTTACTAACGAGTGTCAACAAGTACGAAGTCTAGGATCAAGGTTTCCTGCCGACCGCTTCCATGCAACTAAATACCCTCGTTAGTATCGTATGTACTGTTTGTTTCTTTTGGAAAAAAGGAAGTTCTTGAGACAAATCAGGGCAGTTGTCAAGTATCTGTGATGTTCAATGGAAGTTTCATGGTTGCTTAAAGAAGTAATCTGTATGACCATTGAAGTATTTATTTGCTAAGATCATTCCAATCTTATTCTGTAAACATAAAAAATTCTGTTCAACAATCAATCGGCTCAAATAAGATGTATCAACTAATTTAATGATTACCTATATATACGTGAATCAATAATCATACATTATTGATTCAAGTATCTGTAGTTGAATTATCAAGTAAAAAAGTTCAAGTTGCATAATCACTTGAAAATCTCCTTTTGCTTCAACTTAAAGTTACCAATATCTTTTCTTCAGATTTTCATCAGATTATCTTGAAAATTCTAATTTGCCTTTACAAAATCAAACTCTAAATTGCCATTGTCAAGGTCATCGTATAAGTAGCCAATCAGAAGAGCAGTGAATAAATGTTTTCAATCGAAATTGGGGGGTTTATGTGGATTTAGAGATATTTCAAGTTGGTATTCATCGTAGACCGATATCAGTTGGAGGAACAGTGAAAATCTAAGAGCACTGGACAGCCGTATCGTTCTAGTATGGAACTCTTCAGCAGTGCGCACGTTGAATACCAACTTGAAATATCTTCAAATCTCCATCCCTCCCCCCAAGTTCAATTGAACTAGTCCTCATTGGTGACTAGCTTAGATAGGTGATTCCCGAAGTTCCAGTAAGAAGTCGTGATCAGTGGGGCAAACCTGGTGACCGTGTGGGGCAAATGTTCAACGATGAAAGTGGGTGGCGGTTGCTGTATGTGGTGAACTGACGGAAGTTGGAAATATGGACCACTGAATTCCGACCTTATTGCTCAATGGTAACGTGCTGGCCACGAAAACTGTAGGTCCGGAGCCCGGTCCCTGACGGGGTCGTGGGTGCGCACTGCTAAGGAGTCCCATACTAGGACGAAACAGCTGTCAAGTGCTTCCAGATTTCCACTGTTCCTCCAACTGATGTCAGTCTACGGTGAACACCAACTTTAAATGTGTTCAATTTGCAGTGTTCCGATTTGTTAGTGTTCAAATCGTACAGCCAAGATAAGTATATAGAACTAGTTGATTGTGTTCCCTCTGACTGTACAGTTCTCAAAAAAGAGAATCATTCATGTTTAATATAACTTGACATTCCAATGTATTGAATTTTCAAGGTAATATTCATCATAGAATGATATCAGTTGGGAAACCACTAAAAACCTGGGAGCAATGGACAATCATTCCGTCTCACCAGGAAACTCCTTAGAAGTACACACTCATGACTCCACTACAGATCGAGACCAGCACCTTCAGATTTCACGGTGAACACATTAGAATTGAGCCAATGAAATAAAATCTAATGTCCCGAAATTTTCCACTTCTCTCACTTTGTGGAACAGCTCTAGCCTGAGACAATGGATATAATGAAGGTGATAATAATAAACTAACTAATTATAATGGTAACATAAGAGATTGAACATGCCTTTCCTGCACCCAGAGATCAGATTTGAATCGATGAATCACCAATGCTTCCACTGTGCACAACTGTCGAAGGCGTACTCTTTTTGAACGATTCCATTTGACTATATAAATGACACTGAAGGAGGATTCAAGTCGAGCTATATGTCGAGAGCTGACCAAATGTTCAACAATTGAGCTGTCACTTGATGTTCATTCTCCCATCTATAACCACGCAGCATAATGCTGAAAGATATGTTTGGAAAGTGTTCGCTTTGTGCAGCCTATATAACTGGCTCTACAGGAGAAAGTAAACTTGTAGACACACATTGAGGTGGACCAAAGAGGCAACTTGCAGCCAATTACTGACTACAGGAACTGATATGTAGCCTCCCAGAGAAGAATGTCTTCTTCAGCGAGTTGATCAGCCGATTCTTCAGCATCTCTGCTGCCGTATCGCCTTTGAAACCAAAGCTCATAAACAAAGTCTTCTTTAGAACTGTGATTACTTGCTCCTTATTCTGTTTCAATTTCAAGATCTTAGAATATCTGGATGAATATCCATTTTGCACGAGAATCTTCCAGGGTTTGTGTAATTCATTTGGAAAATGATATCGTGAAAGAAGAGAAAATTCTCTTCTTTGAATTATCTCTTCGTTTCTCTTTAACTCGATGGGCATGTTATGAATACATAAAAGGGGTTTGAACTTTCATAAAGCTAAGGCTTCAACACTGTCTCGACGGCTTCTATACAATTGTGTAAAGGCTGTTTTTGGGTCAATCCTGTGACCTGTTTCTATAATGTGTTTACGTATCGACGATGATGTCTGTCTACCCTCTGAATTTGTTGGATTATCTGAATATAGCTGTTTTTCTAAGCATTTAGAGATATGCTCCACCACCCAACTACTGAGGTTCAATTGGAGTGACTTTAAAGGACACCCTATTAACAATTGAAAAAACCAATCTGACTGCTCTATTTATGAAAGTCTTCTCTTCCAGGCGACTTCAAAGTTCACCCTAGTAACTGTAAAAATAACCAATCAGATTTCAGTATTCTGGCTAGAAAAGGAGTTTTTCATAAAATAAAGAGACGTCATTGGCTGTCTCCGCTGTTGCTGAGGTGGCCTTTAAAGTCACATTAAAAGTCACCCCTGAATTGTACATGAATGCATGTTAAAGTGTTTTGACGAAGTGATTGTCATATTCAAGATATTTTAATTAACCGCCACATAGCTACTAAATTCAAATATTTAGTATGCTATGAATTTCGTAAATCTAACTTCACTGCCTGATGCATACATAATGAGTGCAAGAAATCAATCGTCTCACAATGGGAACATTTAAATTGTCTCAGACTAGACTAATAATAATCAGCTGACTAGTAAAAAACCAAGAATACACAGATGACAGTAGCAATACATTCAGTTTACTCGTGTAGATTAAAAAAGGTATTGATTATTGATTGGTAATATTATTGTTTCAGTGATGAGTCAGTTAGTTAAATATTCATTTCGACCTTCAATCTTCAATATCATGTGTTACATCAAAGTTGTATTTTATTGATTAAAGGTATTTCAAACTCCAGTGCTTTTGTGTAATTGGTCTTTGATATCAACTTCTTCGTTGTATGCAAAACTTGTATTTAAAATAAAGATTCAATTAACTTTTAAATGCATCTCAAGAAGTATTTGAATTTTAAAATAAGTGATACAAAGTATATTTTCATTCCATGTTAGTCTGTTTATTAGAAATGTCACACAGTGAAAAAAAACACTACCATTTACTGGATAACATTTCAGACACAATTTATTGTCAATATTCATATCAGGTAATTCCACAACTAAGAGACAGACTTTAGATACTCCTAATTTTATCTCCTTCTTTATGATGACAAGGGTAGTAGAATTCTCCATATGTGTGGGACACCTGCAGAATCATTCATATTACTGCATGTATTTGGTGTTGATTCGCTGAAGGAAGATTCACTCATTAATCTCTCTCTCTCCCTCCACCCAATTAAGTTACTTTTCAACACTGTTGCTCTATCTCACCCTACTATATGACTGTGTGTAACTGGGTGAGAATTCTTCTTAATGCTTCTCAGGTGCCTTCCTTGTATGGTAACACAGCAGTGGCATTGAATTCTCTCTTAACCCTGTCACCATTATTAGCATTAGTACTAAGATTACTACTACTACCACTACTACTACTACTACTACTACTACTACTACTACTACTACTACTACTACTACTACTACTACTACTACTACTACTACTACTACTACTACTACTACTACTACTACTACTACTACTACTACTACTACTACTACTACTACTACTACTACTACTACTACTACTACTACTACTACTACTACTACTACTACTACTACTACTACTACTACTACTACTACTACTACTACTACTACTACTAATACTCACACTACTACTACTACTACCACTGCTAATATTCTCCGTTCGATTTCTTATGAATCTCTGTGTGTGTGTGTGAGAGATTCTACATTGATTCTCTCTGTCTGCAGTTTGAATTTTACGACTACTTTATATTTCGGGGAGAACTTATCACAAAGTGACATCACTTGAGGTACCAATGAAGACCTGAGAGCACTAGACACTTGTTTTGACCTAAAACTCCTCAACAGTAGAAACCTAAGACCTCTCCGGTAGTCGAACTCATGATCTTCATGTCCGTGATGAAAATCCTCTTGAAAGCTCAAACTCCATTGCTGTATACCACTCATTACTGAAACACTTCCAGATGCATATCCTGAAGTTCTGATGACAAGTCAACCAGTTGGAAGTGAAGAGGATGCCAACTAGAGAGCTTGGTGGATAGTTATGCAATATTGTTAATCAACAGAATTATGGAACTTTTGAGCATTGTACTGTGATCCACTTGCTCAACCATTAGTACATTCGTGGTAAAACTTGAAGGTTCTGTATTCTATCCGTAGGCCGATCATGGGTGTACACTGGTACGAAACAAATGTACACTGCTCCAAGTTTTCAATGGTTCTCTAACAGATGTCAGTGCTTGATGAATACTACCTTAAAATATCAAGTATCCGAATAACACTTGTGGGCGATAGAGGCTACCAGTAAAACCGAAGACATGGGTGTCATCCTATTTGGGATTCGTGAGGTGGATGTAGTTACGCCCCAGTGAGCGATGTTGTTTCCGCTAGGACTCAAACATGGAACCGATCACTTCAAATGCCAGGGCGTTATGCACTTCCTAACCGAGTCACGATAACCACTTCTTGTGCGACGGGTATAGTTTTAATGTTGTTGCTTGTATTATCCCATCGTTATCCATATAACACTGATGAAAGTATTCATTAAGATGATTTAAACTCATCTCCATATGAGTAAATCAATTCGCTTGCAATGATTGTGATGTCAAGTATATACGTCAAAGTAGTCGAACGAGGCCGATTAGAATAACAGAGCACAGAAATTTAGCTAAATCAAGATTAATAGATCCTAATGAGATAAGAAATTTGAGAGAAGCTCGGCTATAGCTCTGTACGCAGTTACACACAGTCATATAGTAGGGTGAGATAGAGCAACAGTGTTGAAAAGTAACTTAATTGGGTGGAGGGAGAGAGAGAGATTAATGAGTGAATCTTCCTTCAGCGAATCAACACCAAATACATGCAGTAATATGAATGATTCTGCAGGTGTCCCACACATATGGAGAATTCTACTACCCTTGTCATCATAAAGAAGGAGATAAAATTAGGAGTATCTAAAGTCTGTCTCTTAGTTGTGGAATTACCTGATATGAATATTGACAATAAATTGTGTCTGAAATGTTATCCAGTAAATGGTAGTGTTTTTTTTCACTGTGTGACATTTCTAATAAACAGACTAACATGGAAATACAATCGACCACAGTGCTCAGGTTTTTCTCCGATACACAAAGTATATTTTACTATTCGTTGATATACTTGTTATTCTCTGTTGTTATGCTGGATCGAACTGTTCGACCCCTATTACTATGCGGTTTTTTACGTGGATGCCTCAATATTGCCTGAATACTTATTATGATAATTCACAGTTATATCAGCAAATAGTTATCGCTAATACCCATTGTACGAGATATGCCTATTATCCCCTCGTGGTCTAGTGGATAACGGTTTGGCGTTCGGACCGATGGGTACGAGGTTCATGTCTCAGTGGGAACAACATCACTTACTGAGGTGTAGGAGCATTCAGCTTTTGAGTAAATCCCAAACAGGAAGAAACGCGGTTCTTGAAATCCTCTGATGGCCACAACCAAATGAATTATCAAAGTATACTTTGTTTAGAAAATATACGTTGTAAAATTGAGATCTTGAAATTATGAGATAAAGTTTGTGGTCATAATGAATGCAGATGAAAATAAACGAAGTGTTAGTGATAAATAAAGGAAATAAACCTTTAGTATAGAGAAAATACTTATTAAAAAGGCTTTGGTTTATAATTTCTATAGGAAAAATGATCATTCCGGATTAAGTTTCTATGAGTTTGTAAGTTCTTATGATATAGTATGGTATGAGATAATCTTCTCAAATGATTGTTAAGTTTAAAAGAAATTAAAGTAAAGATATATGATGATAAATCCAAATCCAATGAGCATTTGAATCTTGTTAGTGTATTAACATAACACTAGAAGAATAATCTGGGATTAACTTCATAAAATTTACTGGTAATCTGAGGAATTTTTCCACATATTAGTCATGATTCCTACTTATTTATGCCCATTGACCATTTACTCAGGAAACTATCGTTTTTCTATTATGAAAGTCAATTTTTGTAGAGAGTTGAGGACTGTTTTCATGAGGCCTACCACCCAGGTTTCGTCCCTATCAAGCCTCCTCAGTATAAGGGAACAGAACGTCTTGAATAGTAGATTCCACCTTATTGAAGGTAAGTAGAAAAGACGTTGATATCATCATCGGTAACCTTATATGGAATACTGTTCCTGTTAAATAAATGAGTAGTCGATGACAGCTGATGCAATACTGTCTGTCATTTGAGTAAGTATATTTAAATAGTGCCTACTTTACAGTCTGTAATACGTTTGTTAAATCAAGAATACTGTCAAAAGACTGAATCTAGCAATGCATAAGAACTAGACTTATTATCGCATGTAAATGAATGCAAACTGATGCAGATGTTAGTTGGATGGAGGCAATCAGCAGTAAGTCCCTGCATGACCCAGGCTTCGTGCATTTTGGCACTTATGAACATGACACGTCAGCAACCTTGATATGACTGATATCCCAGTCAATGCACAAACTGATGTACACCAATTTGAGTTATGAGCAAAATATATCTAAAGAATTCTTCATGTACTTAAATTTATTGTTTAGTTTACTACATTTTAATTATTTTTCGATAAAAACATGTATGTTCATTTGGTGGGTCATATTGAACATTAGCATAAATGAAAATTTCATCAAATTATTGATTACTTCATAAAAACGAGGCATCTTTATAACGGGTGATGATTGAAGGTGAGATGAAAACCTGAACCGTGACCGTATTCGAACCAGCGACCGCCGGGTTACCGGCCCGGTGCTGTATCAACTGAGCTATGAGGTCCGACTGCTGACCAGATTTTTATTTTACTTCAATCACCATGGCACGAGAAGTCCTGACTAGGCAGCCAGTGTGGATACGATCAGGCGGTAGTAACGCGTCAAGAATTCACATGGTAGTCGGGCAAAACCCACCTTGATGATTGAAGTGAAATAAGAATCCGGTCAGCAGTCGGACCTTGTAGGACAGAGGGTCCGTAACCTTGTGGTCACTGGTTCGAATCCCGTAGTGCTTCAGATTTTCATCTCACCTTCAATCATCAACCAGTAAAAATACTAGTCTGCCAAACTACGACTATCTCAGATAGTCAAATGACCATCTTTATTAATCAAAAGAATATTCCATCTGTGTTCAGTCTGTCTTAGTTTAGACATAACTGCTGACTGGAGAAAATTAACGACCCCTAGAGAATGGAGGTGCCAAAAGTTTTCTCTCTTTGAGCAGTTGAATTGAGGCCTGAATTCCTGTTTAACTGGATTGTTTAAACACGTGTGGTATTCATGGAATATCATTCTGTCAAGCTATTTAATGACTTGGTACCATGGTTACTTATTCATACTACCGTGTCATATCACTTAGTTTGGAAGTCACGCTCCTTTCTTTATTTTTAGCAGTCACTCGACTAATATTGAAGTGTTGATTATATTAATCTTGGTAACTAGCAGTGAAATCTAGGACGCGCTTTCCGTCCTATTTGGGACTCGTCAGCTGGACGTACCTGCACCCCAGTGAATGATGTTGTTCCCCATTGACTCTCGAACCCAGTAACTTTCGCTTGTAATGATATTTGTAATTTCGTGTTGCTATACAGGGTCAGGACGAAATCCGCAGCCTGGACCCCCTTGTTAGTCACCAAGATGAATATAACATCATGAATATCCGGTGGTATCGAGGCATCCGCATAGGAGCCCATCTGCCAACAGAGGTCGAGCAATTCGGCCCTGTTAAGCAGCACGACATTACAAGTATCATACAAGAAGTGCTGATTCGACTATCTTGGATAGTCTTGCTCAACACACTGATCTCAATGTATGGTTGCATTGACTGAAGTGAAAAAAGAAACTAAAACCATATGAAGGCTGTGACAGAAACCATTTTCAAACCGAATGGAATTCTCTATTCTTGCCATTTCGAAACACCATCAAACTTGAAGAGCTCTGTATTCGCTTGTCTGATAATTTAATCTATAGATGACAGGTAACGATTAGCAATTTTTTTCGAAAGGTACTGTGGCACAGGTGTACTTACAAGTGATAGCACACCGACACAAGCTCTCATTATATCATCATCATCGCTATCGTAATCAACACAAATTATTGAGCAAACAACAACCTGAAAAAGTTTAATTTTATTTGCAACAATGATGAGTTGAATCGTCATTTTTTGACAGATTTGATTTCATCAATGCATGTTTCTGTGTTTTTTCTTTAAAATTTTAAATTGAATCCAATTTTAAGAGAGATAACTGGTCGTTTAAAACAAAGCAAGCAAACACATTTGATTTATTTGTTTTAACTTATTACTGAAATTTGGTGTAAATTTGAAACTTGGAATTGTGAAAAGTTATGGTAATTAACCATGTTTTACATTAGAAAAATAAAAACATTGACCCTGATCATCAAAAGTTTTTCAACTTTCAGTTATCTCTAGTGTTTATACCTATTACTGAATGAATGCATATCAATCGTCACTCAGTATCACTATCAGTCTGTCAAATCACAGCTATGAAATGGTGGAGAATATTTGTAGCTCAGGTGGATGGTCTTGGTTGTGTTGTGTTCTGTGAACTGAGCTGTTTAGTCGTGGAGCTTTCATCGTCTTTCTGGACGACATCTTTAAGCACTAACTTCAGTATGAAGTTCGACAACCAGATCAATAAAACCTTGAACAAACTCTTCAAATCAGAAGAAATAACAAAGCAAGACGAATGGCGAATGAAGTTGAATGGACCCATCATTCCTCGGTTCTACGGCAGACCAAAAATACACAAACCAGACATTCCTCTACGACCATCAGTCTCACTTCCGGGAACTCCAGCATACAACATGTCAAGAGAACTGTCGAGAAAACTGAAACATCTGGTTCGATCATGCGGACATTCGATCAAATCACCAACAGAATTGTTATAAAAGATCAAAAGCATCAATATAAAAAACGACGAATTAATGGTATCCTTCTTTGTCACGGTCCTGTATACTTCCATCGAACCCCAACTGGTCAAAGAAACTATGTCCCTTCTGTTCGCTGAAGACACAAGCCTTTTGGAACCCACAAAACTTAAATGTCCAAGTCTAATAGAACTCATCCACCTTTGCGTGACAACATACTTCCAATTCAACGGCAAGATATGCAAACAGATGCAAAGAACTTCAATGGGGTCATCAATATTCGGACTAACCACAGAAGCAGTGATGCGGAGATTGGAAGCCATCACTCTGCCTGTGATTAAACCAAAAATTTGGATTCTCTATATGGACGATACTTTTGTCATAATTAAAAAGGATGATATAGAAAATACCCACATTTTTAGCAATAACGTTTTCAGTGGTATCAAATTCACAATGGAGAAGGAGTCAGATAACCAGCTACCATTCCTGGATGTTTTGGTCAGTAGGACAAATACCTGAAAGCTGGAAAACTAAGTGTACAGGAAGCCAGCACACACTGACCAAATCCTCAACTACAGTAGCAACAACCCAAAAACGCACAAAATCAGATGTGTGCGGACTCTATTCAAAAGAGAGGGAACACACTGCAGTACAACAGCTTCACGAAGAAATGAAGAAAATTAATTGATGTCCACCCTAAAGAAGAACGGCTACGCACGAAACTTTATGAGAAGATGCCTATCCCGGACAGCATCAACTACAAAGTCATCCACAGAAATCAATAAGTGGATTATCCTACCATACATAAAGAATGTCAGAAATCACGACAAGATTACTGAGACCACTTGGAATTGATGTGGTTCATAAACTAACAAATTCCCTGCAAACACCATTAGGCAGACCAAAGGATGCAACAACCAAAGAAGACAAACCGAATATCATTTACAAAATCAACTGGAATAACTGTAGTCAACACTACATTGGACAAAGTGGTCGCCCTTTTCACCTTCGTCTACATGAGCAATAATTGGCTATTAAACGTCACGACATTTTATCACTCATTTCAATGCACGACCATAACAACTATGGACACAAATTCAATTTTGAGAATGTAGAAATTGTGGACAGAGGAAACACAAAGAATATCAGAAAGTTCTTAGAAGCTTGGCATTCAGGTCAGTCAGTCAGCAATCTATAGATGTATATACACAGACCCAATCTATCAACCAATGAGAAAAGTGATAAACGATAGAAAGGTCAGAGGTTACGCAGAGGAACAGCCAACAGGAAAATCTATTCAGTCAATGACACAACAATCAAAGGGAACAATCAATTACAAGCCAGTTCGTCAGGACAAGTTACTACATCACTACATCACAGCCTGAAGTTAGTGCTGTTGATGTCGTCTAGAAAGACGATGAAAGCTCCACAACTTAAACAACCCACATCAGAGAACACAATACAACCAAAATCATAGCTATCTCAAATACTCAAAATGATAATCAATATGATTCTCCTCCTCTCAAGTAGATTTGGAATGGGATGAGAAGTCCTGACTGAGCAGCCAGTGTGAGTAATACAGTCAAGAGGTGGTAAAGTGTCGCGAATTCAAATGGTAGTCCAGCAAAACCCTTGATGCCTGGCCAGTATTTGGGCCTTGCAGCTCACTTGGTAGAGAACTGAGTGAGAAACTTGATGATCGCTGTTTCGAATCCTGTCGCGGCCAAAATTTCCATTTCACCTTCAGTCATCACCCAGGATCATAGGAATATCTGGTGCGCTTGAATCGTAACAGAAGTATGTCTCATGTTGATCGGCATTCTTTGTTGTCTTTACTACATATCATACGAAACATACCACGTCTTTTAATC